CATTAGTTATTCACTACTCAATAATTAATCAATTCTAGATATTTTCATAGTTGAAAGCGTGAGTCAATTGAAGCTATACCACCAGGGAAAACCTGGAAGCACTTGACGGTCATTACGTCCTATTGTGGGATTCCTCAGCAGTGCTCATCCACGACCTCGCCTCGCAAGATTCGAACCCAGGTTTTCCAAGTTTTTTCTGGTGGTCTAGCTTCATTTAACTCACACTTTCAACTATGAAAATACTAAATCTCCACAAAAAAACCCTTCTGATAATTCTAGATATCTTATGTTATCATGTTATTGAATCTATCTATAGAATTCATGTAAACTCTAATAGTATATAAACAACATACAGACATGGACTTTCGTCTACACAGTATGTCCTCATTTAAAAACTTCAATCGTAATACATCAGTCATAGTATCTGATATAACAACTAATTCCAATAACCTTCAGCATAGATACCATTAAAAGTAACTTCAAAGATTTATCTAATTTACGCTATTTAACAGATTATATTAAGATTATCTTAAATGTTCTTGCGTGAGCATTTCTTAGTTGAATCTTTCATGAGACACTTTGTATTTAAATCCTATTGGTTAAAAACTAATTGGAATAATCAAATCATTCAACATGTTGTCAGGGTAGTAACAAAATAAGAAAATAAAATAGAAAGTAATAAACTCTACGTTACGTTTTATCAACTGAAATAACCTTAAATCTCATTTCATGACTTAAGTTACATAGCAGTTAGTGGGTTGTATTCTAGGGAGATTGTTTTGTAATAAGATGGTAGTTAGAGGTGGTCAACAGGAAACCCTGGACCCAAGTTTCGTGCACACTTGGCACTTGTCAGCAAGGTGTACCTGTAATCTTGAGGGAACTAGTGCTCCCTGACAGATTCGATCCCGTGTCACTCAGTTTCACAGTCAGAGACGTTATCACTGAGCTATTCGGGCCACGACTGACCTCCTGTAGGACTGAGATGTATCGAATGTTATCGACCAGTGTCAAGCCACCTAGACTACTGGCCACATTGCAACTTGATCGATAGCATTCGATCAGCACTAAGAAGGACTCGACATGCATGACATTGATCACCACCCAGTGATCAATCAATTGAGATTGTTTTGTTCTATTCAAGACTCATCAGTTATATATAACTACATCTTAGAGTTGATGTTATAAGTAAGATTCGAATAGAGTACCTTTTCTCTTGAGACATCCGATGAGTTATTCTATTGAACTACTAAATCCAATCAGTCATCAGTTTATGTAACCGATACAGGTTTTATTTCTGTTGCAGATGCTAAGGGCTCTGATTAATGTAAGTACATCCAGCTAACTAGGTTCAAATTAGAGTTTAAACATATGTCCAGCACTAATTCTTACTTAACCTTGTACATTAAACCTGTATTATTTGAATATTTAGGTACAAGTAGTGTTGTGAATGAGAACACGGGTGAGGACAACCAACTATGTATTTAGCACAAATTACAACGTTACTTGGTAAAATACAAAAACCATGCTATGATACACTATTTGCAAAATGTTTTTCAATTGCCTCAGACTTCATTGTTCCTGGATTTCCACACAAATTGCTTTTTATTTCTGTTCTTCTCTTCTTGATCTTCTCAATCTTCTGCTGTCAGATATTCTATTCCTTACTCACCATATATACTACTTATATCGATATCAGTAGCTCATACCACAGTAGATGTGAAAATAAAAGCTGTTTCATGCTCATTTTTTCGTTTACATTCAAATATAACTGAAACCAATTTTACCCTAAGGGATAATAACCCCATTATACTCTTCCATAAAGACTATTAGTTAATAGCATTGTTATTATTAACACGGAATATTATATCTGTTCTGATCCATACACATACATACATATGCATTGAAACAAGTGGGTACACATCTATTACATGTATTATCTATTGTGTTCCTCTCCCACGGTCCTTCTCTTACTACTTCCTTTTCAACTCATTTCTCTTTATTAATAACATGCAAAGCTGTGTCTGGCAAATTTCACTTTCCTCATTATCACAGTTTATACTCTTCATAATGAAAATGACTTTCAAATAGGGTTCATTACATAACTTTCTTCCTATAAACACTATGGTTTAACAACAACAACAAAAGAAAGAAAACGATTGGATATGTCAAGACATAAATTTCCTTAATTACTTTAATATTGTACATGAGTTAGTTGGGGTTGATTAAGTATTAACCAAACTCATACTTATATGATGTCAGTATTGGGATTCATAATGAGGTTTGCTATTGACATTGATCATATTATGATTTGCCAAGCCTCTTCACTAACAATTGTTCATCTAAACATGTTTGTTGTCTAATTTTTTTTGTATGAGCAAACAATTAACTTTTTAGAAGAGATCATGAACAATAATTTAAACAAAATAACATAAGATTCATCTATCCACCTCATGCAATGGATAAGGGGTAGCGTAAGATCATGGATTGATTGAAGTTA